TCGACGGGGAATCGATGGAGGGTGAGAAGTACAACATGTGCCATTTCTGGAGCAATTTCGAGATTGCCCGCTTGGACTGGTTCAGGAGCAAAGAGTACAATGACTTCTTCGAGATGATGGATCGAAGTGGGGGATTCTGGATGGAAAGGGTGCGTTACTCTCGACCTTCTTTGTCAAATGCAGATATGCTAACTTCGCCTCAGTGGGGAGATGCCCCGATCCATTCTCTTGCAGCAGGAGCCCTCCTGGCGCCCCGCGATATCCACTATTTCCGTGACTTTGGCTACCGCCATACCACGATCCAGCACTGTCCTGCGAATGCTCCTGCCCGACAATTGCCTAGAATCCCCTGGCTAGAGAAAACCACCGAAGATGAGAAGGAACGGCAAGAAGAAGACGAATACTGGGCCACGCCAGATCCACCAAAAGAAAATGGGGTTGGATGTCGGTGCCGCTGCGACACTGACATCCGAGACGTGGAAGGAAAAGAGGGCAGCTGTCTTGCTGAGTGGGTCGAAGTAGCCGGCGGTTGGGCTTCTCCTTGACCGGGAAAGCTGGGGACGACAAGCAGACCGCGACGGCAGACCAAGAAAGTCTGTTGATTGCATCGCAGCCCGGCGTTGGTGTCCTTTGGAGCAATTTGAGGCGCAATATTTGGGCGTCGGGACAGCACGGACTGGGCCGTGCAAGGAGTATCGGAAGGAGGCTTGGATTCTGAGAGGCACACTATCTGGAACTGTTCTCAAGACGAGTACAGAACATATTACCCCCCGCATCTGCAGAAGCGGAGTGGTGCAATAGGAAATGAAGAGCTGAAGGGACGAGAGACGGCGACCGAAAGAGGGAAAGCCGACCTAGGAGATGTACGGAGAACCGGCTAACAAGGCTGCTGGCATCGAGGAATCGACATGTCGCCGACGCCGACGGGCACTGGCGGTCACGAGTCGCGTTGGGGGCTGGGGCCATTCTATAATTGGTTTAACTTGGGAAGGGGAAAGAACCCATCCATATACCCCATCGGATTGAAGTGTATGGTTGGGCTTGTGTGAATACAATATATATGGAGTACTACCTCAGCCTTGCTCAGCATAACAGTGTACAATGTCCAACGTAGGCACGGCTGGGCACGGCTAGGCAAGGCTGGAGCCTAGCCTTGCTTACCAAGGGTGGAGCTACAAAGAGGTACTAAGAGACCATCAGGCTGAACTTGGGTGTGGTGGAGGGGTAGTATCACCAACTAGCAAAGTCGCCCAGCATGCGTGGGCAGCGCGTCTGCGGGGTTCCTCCTTGATTGCCTTGCATCACCTTTGCTGAACTGTTTGGTGCCTAACTATCTTCTGACCTTCCTCGACTTCGTGACTTCTTCCCTCCGCCAGTACTTTGGATTTGGTCTGTACTCTTGACATGGTGGATTTCCCCTTCAACGTTCCCTGTCTCCGGGCTGATGACTGTTCACAGCCTGAACCGGACTCGTCCCATCCCCAACGCTGAATCGCCTTGTTCCGAATCTCATTTGCTGAACCACCAAACTGGACAACCCAATCCACCAGAAGTCGCAACACTGTTGAGACTACCGGGAAGGTGTCTGCGGTCATTCCCATTTCTAGTAGTAGGTTCATTTCGAATGCACATTCCGCTCTCCATCAAACCCGGCAGGGATCAGCATCTCTGTCGTCGTTTCGTGGCTGCTCGCTCATCACGACATGACTGACGCCTTCGAGCACGACCACAGCAAGCCTCCTGAAAACGAGCTGGAACTGCCTTCTCCGCCTGTAGGCACCACTCCTCACAACTTCGACCTCAGATATCCAGAGATCCCTCTGCACCTCTCACTTGAATCCCTCCTCGCGCATTCGTCGTCCTCTTCTTCAAATTCCTCATCCATTGCCAGCATGCCGCCACCTGAGCCTGACCAAGCTTCGCTGGACGATAGCTGGGCCTCGATTGCGGACATTGGATCCTCGAACGAAGACGACCTGCAGTCCGAAAATACCGACGTGGGATCTCTGCTTGATGTTCACAGCTCAGACGACATTCAAAGCGTCTCCGATGGAATTCATATCAATGATGTTGCATCATCAGACGAAGAGGGCCTCGAGGACACTCTCATGGAAGGGCTAGACCGCAGACCAACTCTGAAACCTTCGAGTCAGCAAGAATTGCTCTCCCATCCACCACCTCCTCCGGTCCCCCAGATAGTTTACTCGGTACAGGACGTTGCAGAAAATGGGCTGGGTCCCATCAGCATTTATACAATCAGCCGACCTCTCGCTGAGGCAGACACCCGAAAATTACTTCCTCATGGGCAAGATGAAAGCCGGTTACAAAGATACTTCAGTATCATTCGCATGCCCATGATAGGAGGTGGGTTGGATTTGGACGCCCACAATTACTTCAAGGTCCTCCTACTTGGCCAACATGTTGAACAGTTCAGGCCAGAAATTCAGAGAAAGCTCGGCGATGTTCTGGTCTCGCGTCCAGTGACATCTAACAACACCAGTCCAACATCCGTGTCGAGGTTCCATCTGGTTCCTAACACATTTGGACCTGGATCGGAACCAGATTTTGCTGACCTTGTTGCCATCGACAAACTGATTGATTTCGATTGGTACGATTTGGTCCATTCAACTAGTGGCCTTGGCCGGCGGGAACAGTTGATCCTTCAAAACAGTCAAACGCACTCGGAGATCGTATCAAAGTGGAGTGGTTCCAGATTCGTGGTCAGCAACCCACGCTGGACACTTCCAGACCTTGCGATTATCTGCGTTCATCTCGATACGGAGGGCAAAATGAACAGCGACAGTTGCAAGATGATTTCCTTCGTGGAAAGACACGGTATACCTAAAATTCTCATACGGATGAGTCGAGGCTGGGCTGGTGATTACCGAGATTGTGTGAACGCTGATTCTCTACACGAATGCATTGAAACCCGAACTCTGCGGCCCCGGCCGTTGCAGCACAAGGTCTCTCCAAAATTACCCCTGGATATGGCGGCGTTCTTGAATTTGGATGCTACCGCCCTTAACAAGCACATCGCTTATGCTGTGTCAAGCGCTGAGCAAACCCGCGCCGGCGAGATCGACGACTTGGATTTCTCATCGCAGGAGCGTCACGAGAAGCTGCCGGGCACCTTCAGCACTCTCTCACGAGCCAATTCTTTCCTGATTAAGAATGTCTTCATCGTCCTTTGGATTGTCGGCGTGTACAGCTTCCTGGGGCTCCACTTGTGGCCTATCTTGTCGGACCCAACTCCAGGCGCAACTACTAGCGACATTATAGCGACCATTTCAGTGCAGGAGCAAGCACGATCAACGGGAACGCAACTACCTATGTCAACAATCGCCACTTTCACGGACAGTCCTAGAAATGAAAACCAGGTTGCTCAACAACTGCTTGACATTGCTTCGATTAATGTTGTTCCTGCAGTTGCCGATGATGCCCTGCATTTTCAAGTTAGTATCGCAGGTGAAAGCCAATTACTAGTCAGACTACCCAAGATTGCCCTAAGTCGCAAGAAGCGGTCCCCGTTGTCTATTGAGCTGAAGCGGGAAAACCTTACTGTTCCTGTATCGGTACATGAACTCCTTGATGGTGTTTTCGGTGTCCTGCTACAACCACATGATACTTATGGTGATATTGAAGTCAACCTGACGATGAGTAAACCACAAATTACTGAGACGCTCACCGTTTCCTTTGGGGACCGACCAAACTCTGAGTTCCAGCGCTTGAAAGAGCTTTTTGGAATGCTGAGCGGACATATTCATAGGACGACTTCGAGCATTTCAACTTTTTGGAAGGATTTGCGAGAACGAATAATCCTGGATGATCTTCGTTCGCTTCCGAGGCTCGCCAGGGAAAAAGTGCAGAAACAAAAATCGACAAATTCAATATGGCAACTCTTGGACATATCAACACTTTCAGATGGGCAATCGAGGTTGGGAAAGGAAATGCAGGCTTTAAACGAGAAAATGGTGCGAATCGCCCAAAGCTACGCTATGCCAGGAAGGAAACTCCGTGACATATTGTCCGAGGGGCTTTTCAATGCGCGATTGCGCCTACTGGGTGCAGTTGAATCTGTGAATATACTGAGATTTTCGCCGAACTTTGACAACAAAGCGGTTCTTCATCGGCTGGCCGCTGCCCAAGGAAGAGCAAAGCAGATTGTGACCAAGGCAGCAAAGAAATTTCGAGCACCAAATGCACTTGCTTGAACTCGGGTTTGGATGTGAAGTACAGGGAGGAAGTGAGCGGGTTTGAAGGATATTAATGTTTTCATGCATGATACGAGCACCAGGAGAGGCTGAAGGAATAGCACCAGGCGTTGGGTAGGCGATGAGCGGCTGGAGTCTTTGGGCAAGGCATGTCACAGGTTGAGGGACAATGTGCTGCTTATGAGGAACGATATATACCCTCCAGAGGAATTAGCAATTGAGCATATTGGTCTTCAGCAGATACATTGAATGAGCCAGCCATCAGTATTGAACTCCCCTGGGTTGATCTTTTTCTGAAGTACTTTATACACAGCCTTGTTGACCAGCCTGGTCAATGTTGCTATTTCCGGGTCACGCTAAACTCTATCTGGTCTAACCCATATAGGAAAGGCTGTGTTTGGCTCAGTCAGAGCCTTGTTTCGGACCTTTCGTTGCCCTAGGATCCTATCACCACCACCAACTGCTCCTCCTCCACTACTCACTGAGACCTCATCTTCGTTTCGACACATTGTTATACTTTTCTTGTCGTTCTCTTATTCCAACCCGTCCCTCTTTACCATCCTGTAACCGCGTCAGTCGTTCCTACAGCCTCTATACCCATCGGCTCTGTTTTTTGCTCAATTCACAGACCCCCTTGCAACGAGTCTCACTTGTCTGCAATCGATCCTCACTCCGCTGATTCCCCGCAAGCAAAAACACGCCCGAACCTCGCCCTTGCGTCTTGGGATCAGTATCGCGCCACCTTAAGACCCTCTCCGAACTTGACTTTCTCAGGGCATTTGGCCCAATATGGGCTTCGGCTCCTTCGAATCGATCTGCAAACAATCTGCGCTCCCTCTGTGTTACATCTTGGGCCCTCCCGCCGATTTCACAACTGCCAAAAACCCTGTGCTGTTGCCAGGATGCAGTGCCCGATCCATCGAACTGGCTAACACCATCATTTTCCAAGCCGCCACCGACTTTGCCCACATCGCAGCCCTCTTCATGACCGCCATTATGATCTTCCACGTCCGGTCCAAGTTCACAGCAGTCGGGAGGAAAGAGATCTTGACCTTCTTTTACATATACAGTCTGTTGACCATCATTAGCCTGGTACTGGATGCTGGCGTGATTCAGGCAACAAGTGGGAGTGCATATCCTTGGTTTGTGGCGGTGCAGAACGGCCTGGCTACCGCACTATGCACGAGTCTGTTGATCAATGGGTTTGTTGGCTTTCAGCTCTATGAGGATGGCACCACACTCTCGATTTGGCTGTTGCGGCTCGGCAGTCTCATCATGTTCGTCATCAGTTTCGCCGTCAGCCTGCTCACCTTCAAGAGCTGGGCAGGCTTGTCGCCGACGAGCACGACGGGCCTTTTCATCGTTCTGTACATCATCAATGCCATCTTCCTCGCAGTTTACTTTGTCATGCAAATCATCCTCGTCGTCAACACTTTGCAGGACCGGTGGCCATTGGGCGATCTCGCCTTCGGAGCTTTTTTCTTCATCATTGGCCAAGTCATCCTCTATGTGTTCGGGAAGAGAATTTGCGAGGGAGTCAGCCACTATCTGGACGGCTTGTTCTTTGCCACAGTTTGCAATCTACTAGGAGTAATGATGGTGTACAAGGTAAATCATCTGCAAAAGCCCCTGTCTGCTTGCTCGTAATGTACTAACGAGAATATTAGTATTGGGACAGCATCACCAGAGAGGATCTCGAATTCAGCGTCGGCACTAAGCAAGGCCATTGGGATGTCAAAGAGGCGTTCCTCGACCCTTCAGGTGAAGATTATCGAACCAGTCTGTACGGTGGAGGAAACGCCCCCACCGGGAGAGAATCGGTTTACGACGCCAGTAGCATGAGCTTGGACTATGCCCCTCAAGTACCCGCTCACTTCCATCAACATCCATCAATCGGCCACCAATATGGCAACCAACAGTCTCACGGCCTGAGTCATCAGTACTCGTCAAGTCGAGATCGGTTGTCGGCCTATGGACATTTGGTTGAAGGAAGACAAAGCTACGGAGATATTAGAAGGCAATTGCCGAATTATGAGGATTACTCGGATCCGCAGATGCAACGTTCAGGATTGAGGAGTCGTGACGGCACAAGGGAGAGGGAGAGGGACTATGCCTATTGACTGAAAAGCAGCGTTGATCTTACAGGGGACTGAATGGGAGTTTGGCTTCCGTGGTCATTCAGCTGTGGGCGGATATTTAGTCATATTTGACCTGCCACACGGAGATAGGTTCTCCTGAATTCTACTACGTGAAGGAACATGCGTACAACGTATAATAGACGGCCCAGCTTTCTTGCTGGCGCTAATGAGGTCACTTGGATGGATGGCACTGGGCATGATGGGACCGACTGGATTAATGGGCATTGTAGCATAAGTCGTTGGAAGGCGGGGTGGATGACAACAAAATATATGCATGTATGTTCTGTACCTACGTAGAGACCAAGAGCCGCTGTTCCCTTGCCCGTCGTCCTTTCCACCTCGGACCTGGAACGTGATAAAAGCCATACAGATATATATCTATGTATCTCGAGATCAGGGATGTAAGGGGGAAGTAGTTTCTTTCTCTCTTTCTCTTCCTGTCTGTTTATCTGTCTATGTACATCCACAGGGACACGGATCCAAATCGATAGGGTGGTGTGCTGTGGTTCTTGGTCACTTTGCAGTACTTGGGGAACTTCCATGTACTCCCATCACGACACAGTACATAGCACTCAGCTCCCATTTTCAACGCTCCTGCGTCTTTCTCCCTACCCCTCGACGCCCATGGGTACCCTCGCGCGATGTATTGAAGGGCCTATTCTCCTCCTTATCCCCCTCCTCCCCCTCTTTCGTCGCGCCTCATTTCACGCGGAATTTGAACTCGTCCCCCCTGTCCAGGTAGACGACTTTGTCGGACAGCCCGGCCTTGGTGATGGCGTCTTTGAAATCGGAGAGCGGGGAGAGGAAGACGTCATAGTCGCTTTTTTGGATTCCAGCCCCCGTCGAGGGGAGGGTCGCGTCAGTTTTTGTGCTTCCGGTGGTGAATTTTAAAATGGGGAGGCGAAGAAACAGAGAACGCAGGGATGAAGCGACCGAGGATCTGAAACGCGTGAAAGAAGGGTGACGACTTTAGGGAGAAGAAGGGACACCCTTACGCCTTTGACAGCGCATAGGTGATGGGAAATGTATTCTCTCCCATGCAGACATAACCAAGCAAATCGAAAGGACAGGGAACATAGAGACTTACTCATAATGAATCGGCACTGTAACCTCGGGCTTGACGAGCTTCACCAACTTGACCCCCTGTTTGGCATCCATAGTAACCATCACCAAGGGCATATGCGGCCCTGGAACTGTTGTTCCGCCCAAATGTATCAGCATCAAGTCAATCGATTTGCCCGCGTGCGTGTACAGCTCGGGGATCTTCTCCAGTTCAGACACATAGAGGGTGTCGCCTGAGATGTAAATTCGATAGCCGCATTCAAAATTGGTTGACTGGTCGCTGCTGATGTATCCGAGTTCCAGCATCCATCCGTTGGTGGGTGGGATCGCACCGAGGATGTCGTTCGCTTTGGCAAGAAGGCCATCGCCGACGTGTTTCCCAGGCATGCCCGTGACGCGAAGATGGGGCCGTCTGGTTGATGTGGAAGAGGAGGTGACATTCACGAACATGCTCTCCCACGCGTCGAGGGGATACACTGCCGTGAAAGCTTCGCCATGTCCTTTGTGTGTCAGATGCTTGTGGGCATGGGGCGTCGTGATAATGGGCAGATCTCGGCGTAGCGAAGCTTCGACCTCTTGGTCAAAATGGTCGGCGTGATAATGCGACAAGAGAACAAGATCAATATGCGGCAGATCATGCAAATCGACCGCCGGATTCGTCTTGCGAGTCCCTCCGACACCGGGCCCCAAATGGACGTGGTCACCAGCATGTAAAAAGTTGGGATCTGTCATGAGGCGGAGGCCCTCCCACTCCAAAATCGTGGTCGCGGTCCCCACAAAAAAAAGTGAGGCATTTGACTCAGCCGACTCAGATGAGCTTTGTTGAGGAGGATACGTCTGGCTTGACTTGGCGGGCGGTAGCTGTTCCTTTAGAGCCGCCCCCTGGGCAACATCTCGGAGGGGGCTTTGTTTCTTCGAGGGGTCGACGGTGATACTCGACTCGGGGGCCATTGTATGTGTGGTGGACACGAGCACAGATCGAGCGTTGGAAATGTTGGAGAGTCGAGTTTGTCTTTTGCTGTCTTGGAGGTCGCAATTGTTTGTTAAGTCGCAATTGTAAACAAACAATGAACTTGCCGAAATGATCGACTCCTTTTAGTATGACGCCTGCATGACGACACTTGCAGAAATACGAATTCCGAATTGCCCGCTTCCACCTGTAGGTGGTAGAATCGAGTAAAGATAGATTTCCCAATGAAGTCCCCCAAGACCTGCTTCTCCAGGTCTAGGGCTTGGGCTTGGGGCAAAAGCAGCTGAACAATCCGTGAAAGGGTTGATGCAGCCTCTGCTCATTGACAGACCAAGCCATTGGGACAGTACGAAAATGGAAGCTTCGCGGCAGCAGATTGTGGAGAGCCCTCTTAAGTGCTTCCGGACGGGCTAACACGAGGCAAGGGCTCTGGTGGTATCGTTGACACCGAAGTCGTCGCCAGCAACCCTGGGCAAGAAGTAGAGCTCGGCTGATTTGAGATGAGATTCTCTTACTTTGCTGCTGAAGTAGTTGTGTGGTCAAAAGAGAGAAACGACGAGGCATCACAAGTCACCGGACCCATGTGGCCGATACGCCCTTCCTCATCTGCTGGAGACAGCTAAAGTCGGTCTGTGAAGCGAACACGAGTATACCAAGTCATTGCCCCATTGTCACCGTCACAACTCGTTCTAGTCTCGTACAGTAATGTCAGCGAGCTGCAGCGCTGCCGAAAAGGGGAAGCCGTGTGGTTGGATGAAAAACGCATTCGTCTCCACAATCGTCCCGTCACAAACAGATCTTTGGACGTTGCTATCGGCGACAGCATATGGTACACAACATCTTCGTTCCTAAGAGGCATGCTTGAATGAGTCGGGCCACTGGCACAACCATAGGGTTTGAAAATGATCAATCATCAATATGTTAAATGGTTTTGTGCCGAGTTGCCATAGCTCGCGGGCCTGCAGTTTGGTGATCACTGTGGTCTCAAACGCCAGCATGAAGGCAACGATAAAAGAGCAACAACTATTGCCAACGAAAAAGAGCAGCGATATTTGACACCTCGATGCTGAGAACTGAACGACTTCCGCACGGCCGACGTGGTAATAAAGATTTGCTCCGCAGCAGCAAGACAAGAAGAGTTCAAGACGAACCTACCTTGGGCTTGTGCATTTCTGAAACAGTATAAACCAACAACTCCCGCTCGCAATCACCCTGCTCAGAGCTTGGGGGAAATGCTGGCAATGCTGTAATATTCGGGGGAAGCTGGTGTCAGACGTCGGGGTCCTCAGTGAGAACACATAAGACTTCCACAAAAAAAAGGTCCAGATCTGGAAAGGTTTTCTATCCAAGAGTGGTACGTAAAAGACGGCACATTTGTCACCGAGATCTAACCCGTCTCTTCGGAGGTGCTGAGGTCGGGTTGGGCACATCAGAGAATGATTGATCGGATGATCAATCGTCGACCACTTCTTCACAACGGCTGTCATTGTAATCACAGGCCAAGTGTGTGCGATCGTGCAGGACAAATCTCTCGCATGAAACTTATCTCGTGCTATCTTTTCAACCTGATGGAGCCCCTGAGGTATCGAGGACGCAAAGTTGTTAGATGAGGTTGCATACCTTGAAGGTGCGTCAGCAGAAAACGGTCAGGTAGGAGGAACACGAGAAAGCCCCAGTTGTTCAGTCGCTTGAAGCAGTTCGGGATGCGAAATTGAGAAGTAGGGTGATGGCGAGCTGTAACTCCTAGGTCAGAGATGGCTGAATCAACGAGGTCCGAGGGTGATTGCTGGTCAACAGCTGTGTGGCAAAATGTTGAGACAGTTCGTTTCCTCATGCGAGACTCTCAAACCAGCACCGGACGCACACGAATCAGCGGTGGTGGGGACACATCTGGCTTCGGATCAGAGGGAAAGCCCGAATCGTTCGGGGCAAGGTGCAATTCAATATCAAAGGTTCCTTTTGGCTCCAATCGCGGATGACTGAGAACTCGCTTGCCAGTGTGGACCAGCATGAACAGCTGGTGATGCGCAGTTTTGAACCCCGTAGTGCAGAAGGATTGTCTCCCTCAAGGCATACAGCTACCTTTGTGGACGACCATGACAGTGTAAGCATTCCATCAGTGCCATAGGTGCTGCAGTCATGATAAACATCATTGGCGAACCGAGGCATTTGGAGACTTCCTTTGCCCACTTCTCGTCGTCTGTTAGCGAGCCGCCCTGGTCGAAAGAGGGATAGGGGAGTAGTACTCCGTACCTGGGTCTGGAAGAGGGGTGAGCCCGATTGTGGTGAAGCATTTCGCTTCGAATCATCACGCCCTCCGTTAGCAGGAGTAATTGAAAACTCGGTTGCCGAACACGACAGCTTTCCATTGCGTCGACTGGGGTCAAAAGCGGACCGAGACTCGATTGCAGATTGTGATGCCTCGATGTATTTCCATTTCGAGGTTACAACGCACGAGCCTGACTTGGAATGAGTGGGTTAGCTTCAAGGAACATATCGCAGTTGAGGCGGCCACCCCGAAACAATATGTCACTCAAACGGACGACGGCAGATATTCTAGATTCCTGCTGAGGCAGCGGGAAGTGGTATGGAGACAGCTGCAGGAGCCCCAACTTTGTCATCAGAGTGGCCTCCGTCTAAAAGGAGCGGAAGACGGCCGAGTAGGTGCGGTTGACTTTTGGGCAGTGACAGGCAGATACGAGATATGTACTCCGTCTTGAACATAAGTCAGGTCCAGAGCGGGAGCCCAAAACAGCAAAGAGAAACGCGTTAGCCCCAGCACCACGGGGAAGAGAAGAATTACTCGTTACGCCGTATCGTGCATAATAATAGTGGCCGTGGACGCGCTTAGTTCCCGTAGGTTGCACCGGCCGAGACAATGAGGTGGCTCCTTTCTCTCAACAGAGCAACGAGCAACGTGGAACACCTCTTTCGTAGGTACATGTGGTAATAAACAACGAGAGGAAATAGGAGGACCAGGGTGCTGCTGGACGAGGGCACTAATGAAGTCACAGAAGGACGAAAAAAGCCCCGTTAATCCCCATATCAGGCTACTGCTTTGCTTGCATGCCCAAAGTTCTGGAGCTGTGGACGAATGAACCCAATGCAACGGTTGAGGTGCAAAACGCCTTGGTCGGGCCCAAGTGGCAGGGGGGCAGCCAAAGGCAAAAGACAAAAGGCACAGGGATGGATGACAGGCAAAAGTCGGCGGGTCTCGTCGGTGGCCGTCGATGCAGGACTCGAGAAGGACAGTTGGATGATCTTAGTTGAGTGTAGGCTTCGGACACGAAATCTGTCTCGAAGCTAACGAGGAAGAAAGCGGGAAAGAGGGAAAGAGAAAAGGGAAAAGGTGGGCAACGCAATGAATTGGCAGCAACGCGGCGGCGGGGAGGGAGACGCGAAGGCGAAGGCAACGGCAAAAGCGTGACACTTTCATCTTCACCTTCGCTGCACCTTCATTTTCCAATTCCACTTGGACCTCACCTTCGTCCCCCGAAGACAGGGATAAGCGGCCGAATTGGCGGGTTCATTGGCGGCTAAGTGGAGCAGCCACGCAAAAAAAAACAGTCGACGCCAAATCATAATGAAACCATATTACGAATCCACAGACGGACAGCAGAAGAGCAGCAGCAGCCACCGGCCACCGCACACAACACACCGCAGCAGGCAGGCGGCACCCAAGGATGACGAAGACAAATGATAAATAGGCTCACGCAGGCTGGCGGCGGTGATGGAGATGGGGTGGTAACGGTCGTTCCGATGCCGCCGAAACATGCGGCGTTAATATCAAAAGAATTTCACAAAGAAACAATTACGAGGTACTGCGGAAAAGGGAATTGAGTGCCAGGCCTGATGACAAGAAGATGATTCGCCCTTGTTCTGTTAGGGCCTGATGCGACGCACAGCCAGCCGGGCAACACGCTGCCTTGTTGTCACTCAGGATTATCAATTCGTCCTCGGCCTCATGGCCACCCCATGTCTGACTGTGATTATGAGTTACAGTACTCGGTAGTCAGTCGGACAGACGAGTTGCAGCCACAACGAGTTGATTTACGTGCGTGCTGCACAGACGAGGGAGAAGTGAGACGTCAACCTCAGCCTCCAGCTGACGCCCGCAATGGGATGTTGACCAGGACCAATCAAGGGCGCACCTCAACCCTGTGTCCACCCGGGAAAAGTCACCTTGGAGCTATCCTTGGTTCTGGTTCACTATTGAACACTACCTAGCTAACCAGGAGCTTCAACCACAGTGGTGATGGGGCCCATGTCATTTCCTTCACAAAAGATCATCAAACATGCCTCACAATTTTGACAAAACTCCGACACAAATCCCCGTCAAGGTAACGCCATGTCATTGGCCTTACGAAGCACCATCGCTCATCCGCTCAGGTGCTCAAGGTTGATCAGCATACAGAGGACCGGAGTACGAGCACGGAGTTCAATGGTCGTTATCATCCTCCTCCTCTAGAGCCTATGGTCCGAAACGGTAATCGTTGATCTTTGAGCCTGGCGCCGACTTACTCGCTTCCGTCGGCTTCCTGCCACTGTTGTTCAGGGAATAATGACGAACTTTTATGGGGACGTCACCCTTGGAACTTGGCTCTGTGCGGAAAGTCCCAAGTCGCTCGTGGCACGCTTGGCTGCAGTCCTCGCAATATCCTATGATTGGCTCGCAGCCTGGACGACGCATGGCGAATGCGAAACAGACATGGCTTGGATAATGGCGGCTCAGATGGGCTCGCAGAAAAAGCGGAGGGTCTCCATAGTTAGGTTTGCATTGCCTCTTGTCGCTGCCTGCTGCACCGCATCGCATCGCTGATTCCAACCACTTCGTATCGGTTGAGGATTCTACTCCCGGTACCTACTAGGCCACCACCACTTCCGTTCTTTCCACCTCACCATGTCGAACCCCTACCGACATCCCCTGAATGTCTCCTTGACCTTCAACGCTCATTCCTAATACAGAGTAGCAAAGAACGAA